AATCCAGGATACAATCATCTGCAAAGAATTTTGATATATTTTGTATCAATGGGAGAATATTTTCGCTATCGAGATACTAGAAACTTTTCTCGCATAAAGTGTCATAAATCGTGCACGTGTACACAAGCACTTTCGCGATGCACCTGATCATATTCACACGACCTCGACAGCCGGGATATGCAGGCAATCCAGACGTTTATAGGCACTACACGGTAAAGATATACGCGAAACATAGTGAATTTCATGAATGTTCCATCAACCTGTTTCGAAAGGTGCTTTTCACACCTTCGAGGCGCGTCTTTTTTCAAATGAGGCTCTCGATAAATCGATGGAACCACCTCATCGTGTGTGCAGTCGAACAAACAAACCGTGGGTCAACGTACCTTACACACGTGCATTGACGAAATACGAAAGCTGGGAGGTTTAACGTAGTTAGAGGGAGGGATAACGAGAGAATTCTCGAGAATTAAACGCCTCGATATTCGTTAAATCGAGTTAGAGGCGACCGCACACCTCCGATCGGACGATCATGAAGATTGATCTCCAGTCATCGCGATCGCGCCAACGTTTCGATGTTTCCTGCCATCCTTCATTCCGGCCAGACGTTGCACGTCTTTCCGTCCTCTCTCCACCGATATACACGTCGTTGGGTTTCCAACTGTGGGCTTTTCTCACGCATACCTACCTGTACCTGGGCGCGAATGCACGTGCTCGCACTCCGCGGCTACTTTCCGCTCCTCTTTTATTCCTCCTCTTCACACTTCTCGAGCTCTCCCCTCGTCAAGCTAATTCGAACTCTCCTCTTCGAATCCTCTTCCGCGTTCTTTCGAGCTGCTGCGCGTGTACTTCCCTGCCGGCTGTTATTTCCCGCAAATATACATGTTTTGTGTATATTTGAACGTGGAGTAACAAATGAAATTATTGAGCAAAATTTTTATTCCTTCTTTCGTTCATGTATCTTGTTCATCTATATTGTGATTTTCTTTAATTATCTTTCATTATTTTTAATTATCTCTATTTTTAATCTTTAATCTTTATTTTTAATTATCTTTAATTATTTTTAATTATTTTATTTTCAATTTTGATTATTACTATTTTTATTTTTATTTTTAATTTTATTTTTTAATTTTAATTTTAATTTTAATTTTTAATTTTAATTTTAATTTTTAATTTTATTTTTTAATTTTAATTTTAATTTTAATTTTTAATTATTTTATTTTATTATACATATTGTGTATATTATACATATTATATATTATACATATTGTATATTATTGTATATTATTTTTTTAATTTTATTTTTATTTTTATTTTTATTTTTAATTATTTTATTTTATTATACATATTGTATATTATACAAATATTTTATAACTCTTTAATTTATTAAAAATAATTATAACTTAAATATGAAAAACCTACAAAAAAAATTAAATATATATTTTTATAATTTTTTGTTGTAAAAAAACTAATACAAAATTGTTAACTTTTTCGCTAAAAACTTGTTAATGGCAACATAATTCCAAAAATAGTCGCACGCATAACGATCTTAAATTCGACGTATAACTGTGCGTCGATTAGAATCTTAATGAGCACAAAGGCGTTGTCTTGAAACATTTATTTACGCCACTACATCTCGGTCAGTACATTTTTAGGTCGAAATCAAAATGTGGTAAACACCTATTAACACTGTATATTTTATAAAAGATATTTCAAAAATTCATTTATTGTATTTTTGTCCGATTATTCGTTAATTACAAGTAAAATAAGATATATATACAGAAAAAGAAACATTCTCGTTTTGAAAATATATTTAGTTTTAACATGAAAATCTTGAAATGAGACTATATTGCGTTAATTAAAGAAAAATATAATTGCTTGAATAATTGCTTACTTGAATGAAGCCATTTTATATAGTTTAATCAAGAAAAATATGTTCTTGTGATTTAACATTTAATTTTCTTGAACGGAAAAGAAACAATGTTAGATAGAAAATAACATTTTTCAATCAAAGATTATAATTTTCTTAAAGTAGAATTAAATAATTATATATTCTTGAGATGACAAAATTACAATATTAAAATAAGACTATAATATTGTTGAAATTTAAAATTTCATTTATTAAATTCTTCTAAGAAGATTATAAATCGTTTGTACGAAACAACGAACGCGTTAGTTTAAGTATATAAGTTTTGATTTGACACTTATTTTTTTCTGTGCATATGAGAATCTTCCTCCCTCTCTTTCTCCCTGTCTCTCTCTTTCTTTCTTATCTCATTAATATTTTATAATTAACTATAATTATTAAATTTAAAAAAAAAACGTTCGATTATTACCTGGAGGCGTGACGTAACTTTCTTTCTCTTTCATTCTCATATTCATTCTTCCAGCTTCTTTGCCGGACGTATGAGCGTCGCGTTGTCGTGAATAACCACGTCAAGTATCTCGCTGGATGGAGGAATAATTTCACGAGGGAGATGCTTGGCTGGCATATTAATTTACGGCTATTGCATGATGGACGTTCCAACTTTCAGGTCCGATGAACATTGTGACTTACTAAATACAATCACCGAACAAGCGAATACTTTATTATTCCTCATTGGTTAACGCAAATGCGTTTTTTGTAATTATATGTCTCTCGCATCTTTATCGTGCAAATTTATTTTTTTCGATTTCTCGAATATTGAAAAAAATAATCCCGATATTATTATAACTTGCGTGCATTTTGTTATAAAATCATAGAAAATTTTTTTTTTTCATTTGCTCAGTTATCAAGTTTGCCAACGACGAGCTGTTGAAAATTGTTGATTTTGTTAAAGACGCATCCTATCGTAAAAATATAAGAGAAAAAATAACCATCGTGCTTTAGCCTGGGTGCAGCAAGCAATTAAGCAAGAAGAAAGGGTTATTTATCGCGCAGTTTACTAGCAAACACAAAACGCTGTTCGTAAAAGTGGAATGACGAATTGACACGTATTTATTTTCGCGATATTTCAGATTCCTCATCTTATAAAATTTCTAAATTGCTTTTTGACAGACAATTATCGCTTATATATATCATATACTCGTCCTGAAAATTCGTTTTATTAACTTATTTATATTTTCCCGACGATACCTAGCCAGGTTTAAAAACAACCAGCTGAAGAATTAGACACCGCGTTCCTTCCCTTGAATTTCTTGTACATACCACTAGTGCTCAGGGTCATGGTTAGGCGACTTCTTCCGTCGGTTCCGTGCGTTGTAGCCATCGTGACTCATGATGAATCGTTCCTTGACGTAATTCTGCCTTTTCTTCATCTAGATCTCGAGACTTTCGAGTGCAAACGCTGGAATCTTGTTCACGCGAGTCTTTCGAATAAGGCGACAATTGTCATAATTTTCAAATCCTTACGTTCGCAACACGTGACAGCGATCCTTAATCTGTCCCATAATTACTATTTATACGAACTTAGATCTATTATTATCTTGATCTATTATTATCTATGTAAACGAAATTATTTATAATTTATATATAAAATATAAACAACAATTTATATATAAATTATACTATAACATAATTATTATAACAATAATAGTTATATAATTATTATATATAATTATTATATAACTATTATATAATGAGATTACAATCATTATTATAATTATTATAATAATGTATTATTATTATTATTATTATTATATACAGGGTGTTTCAGACCACCAGCACACCCCTTTTAAAATGAAAATAAATGGCTTTTATCAAAAATTGCGAACAATTTTTAAGTAAATTGGGTACGCTCTATCAAATGATGATATTTTCAACTTTTGATTTCGACCGCAAGGTAAAAAACATTTTGTATTTCTGTTAAAATTTTCTTGTGTAAAAAATTTTGTGTTAAATTTTTAACATATTCTTATGTTAATGTAACATATTATCATTGCATTATTTTGACATTTCTGTGTTGAGTTAATATTCACCGTTTCTAAGAGTTAAAACAACACAATTAATACACGAATTTTTGATGAAATATGTTATATGTTAAAATGAACAGATAAGTTGTGTTAGTTTTCTCTCTATAACAGTTTCCATATGTTAAATCGACATATCTCTTCTGTTATTTATCATAAAAACGTAAGAATAATATTTTCTTTTAATTAAATTTAACATTATAAATATGTTAATTTACATAAACTTTATTTTCACATAAACTTTATTTCCAGATAAAGTTTAAGTGTCACACTTTTGTGTTAATTTTTAAACATATTACTTGTGTTATTTATTTACGTACTTGCCTTCTGTTAAATTAACATTAAAATTAGAGTGGATAAATTGGGACATGTGAAATATGTTAAATTTAATACAAAATTTTTTACTGTGCGGAAATACGCCATCTGAATCGGAAGTTGAATTTTTTTAGGGGAACATGGTGCTTTTTATTACAGATTCGAATTGTACGTAAAAAATAAGAAACTTTTGTATCAAACATTTTTTCTAAAAATGCTTCTGTCAATCTTAAAATTGACTTCGAAAGTGAACTGTGATGAAATAATGAACTTTCAATTTTAAGATTGACAGAGGCACTTTCAGAAAAAACGTTTCATACAAAAGTTTCTTATTTTTTCACGTACTATTCGAATCTGTAATGAAAAGTACCATGTTCTCCTAAAAAAAATTCAACTTCCGATCCGGATGACGTATTTCCGGTCGGAATCCAAAGTTGAAAATATCACATTTGATAGAGCCTACTCGATTTACTTAAAAATTGTTCGCGATTTTTTATAAAAGCCATTTATTTTCATTTTAAAAGGAGTGTAGTCGGATAGTCTGGGACACCCTGTATCTATGTAACTATATAATATTATACGAATGATTTATATAATAATTTATATAATATATTTATATAATATTTATATAATATTTTTTATAATAATTTTTATATAAATTTTTTTATAATATATATTTATATAATATTTATATAATAAATTTATAAAATAATTACATTGAAATGTAATTTTTGTTTTAGATTATTACTTTTGAGTGGCTTCCTGCTGATGTTCTCCAGCCATCTTGCTGTGGCAACCATTTCCGCGGAAAATACATCCGATTTCGAGACGGTTCGTACGAGCAACGCGGCTATCCTAAATCGACTCGGGCTCGCGCCTCTTCAAATACCCGACGGGCATCACAAGAAGCGGTTAGCCGGGCCTGAACCACCGGGACTCAGCTCGCAAACGCGTATACATCAGCCTTACAGTCGTCGTCACGGTCACCGCGACAGTCACATTTACATCGTGAAGCTTCCGGCCAGTCCGCCGTACTATACCATTACGAAGCCTCACAAATCTGTCAACGATGATAAAGTGACCAAGACTGGGCCGAGCTTTCCGGTGGGATTTCAAGGGAATGGCAAGCCCGCCAAGATTTATCACTGGAATTTACCGGTCGTCAAGAAAATGACGGAGAAGAAGCGTCTCCAGCTGAATCAATTGATTATGGACCAGGCGAGAAAGGGTTTGGACGATACGAGGAAACGCCAAAAAACGTCCTCCACGAAAGCCATAATGAACAAACTTTATCCCTTCGATGCGACCAGCAAGAATAGCGAATATCACGCCGGCAACGATAAGCTTCATTCTTACCAAAAACCACTAATGGCCAAACACGTGAGGAACAACGACAAGAGGCTTACCTACCCGGACAATAACAATTTCAAGTTCGAATTGACGAAGAAAAGCGACGACAAGGTATACAGACTGGACGATTTGAAGGTTCAGCACAGGATCCATCTGGCTAACGATTTCCACGGGTCGAAAAACGCCATGAAGATGAAGAAGCATCGAAAGAAAGCCGCGTCCTATTACGCGCCAATTTCCATCAAGACAGGTTCTACCAGCATCCACAAAAATTTCCCCGGAAATGGCAAACCTAAGGCTTTTTACATTATGGAGAAAAGTCGCAAACCAGTGTACTATCATCCTCTCCTACCTTAATCCTTGACTGTTCGTGTAATTGTGCACAATCATGTAACGTGTTAAGTGGCCCGTGAGCCTCTGTTAGCCTAAGTAGACGCGTATAATACTCTGTTTGTATAGGATCAGGGGTCGCCGTTCGAATAGAGACAACGATGAAGAGAAGACAAGAGAGAGAGAGAGAAACAGAGACTTTCATACTTATACCGCATATGATAGTTCTTATTTAAGGCCACGTGCATTTTGCTGTTCCAGCTTCTGTTATAGATGTATATCGTTATCATTTTTTTTTTACTTAAAAAATCTATCGATAAGTAAATGTTACACAAATGCAATGAATCTCATTATCGTAGCTTGTCGATAATTCATTTTTTTATATACAGAGTGTCCCAGATCACCCGCACACCCCTTTTGAAATGAAAATAAATGGCTTTAAAAAATCGCGAATAATTTTTAAGTAAATCGGGTACGTTCTATCAAATGGTGATGTTTTCAACTTTTGATTCCGACCGGAAATACGCCATCCGGATCGGAAGTTGAACTTTTTTAAGGGAACATGGTACTTTTTATTACAGATTCGAATTGTACGTCAAAACACAAGAAACTTTTGTATCAAACGTTTTTTCTAAAAATGCCTCTGTCAATCTTAAAATTGACCTTGAAAGTAACTGTGATGAAATAATAAACTTTCAATTTTAAGATTGACAGAAACACTTTCAGAAAAAACGTTTGATACAAAAGTTTCTTATTTGTTCGCGTACAATTCGAATCTGAAATAAAAAGTACCATGTTCCCCTAAAAAAATTCAATTTCCGATCCGGATGACGTATTTCCGGTCGGAATCAAAAGTTGAAAATATCACCATTTGATAGAGCCTACTCGATTTACTTAAAAATTGTTCGCGATTTTTGATAAAAGCCATTTATTTTCATTTTAAAAGGGGTGTGCAAGTGATCTGGGACACCTTGTATATTTTATTTTATATACGATGTTATAATATATTGATAATTTAATACATTCCACAGATCGCAAGAAAAACTGAGATTGATAACATTGACATTTTTATTGCTATATTATTAAATTTATATTCATGAAGCAGCAAGTGAATGAGCATATCATGTTTTTTCAAATGTTGTATTATATATCTATCGACACATACTCATACATACACACATATACGTATATAAATAATTATACATATATATTGAATTGTTCGCATAAAAGTTCGTAGTGATTTTTAATAGATGATTGAACATATCGTAACCTGTCATAGAGAGAGAAAGAGCTATTTAAGTCATACAACATACGTACATGTTTTGAAAATATCTGACATAACAAAAATATAAATGAAACAAAAATTAATCCCAAGTAAGTTTTAATGATTATCTGCAATTTTAAAAATATAAAAAGTAAGATACATTTTTTTCTAACGATACTTTTTTATTATTAAAAAGGCAAAAAGTCATACAATTAAGAAAGAAAGATGCTATTTATAATTATGTTTATTTTTTAATCAACTGTTCGTTGAAGCTTTATTTAAAACTGATTATTTCAAACAGTTTATATCCCGAAATTTAACCGACTGAAAATAATATAATAATTGTGACGAGAAGCATCCAGAATTGAATAATAAAAAAGCGTCATCTTTTTTTAAAGTAATGTTCAATCTCATGTTTCTTTGCAGAATGCATCGAAAATTCATGCAGCTAAACTGAAATAATCTACGCTAAATTATACTAGATGTTTACAAGATTTAATATTGATTATTATTTATTAATTAGATTAATTAAGATTAATATTTGATTATTATTTATTAATTTTTGAGAAATTCTTTAACAGTAAAAACTTGCGAAATCTAACATTGGTATCTTTCGCTCTAAAAAATAGCTTCAGAAAGATTTTTAAGGTTTATTTAAAAATAATAAAAGATCGTCAACAAAAACAATAAAGCATAAAGATTATCGAATATATAAAGAGAAATATATAAGAGGTATATTATTTTTTATTTTTTTATAAAAAGCACTATGAACTTTCTAAGCGATTCAATATATAAATTATTTTTTACTGTATCCTATATACGATATTTTTCAATTATAAAATCCTTATTTCAATTATAGGATAATCGCGGGTTATATTCTTTTTAAATTGTTTTTAAACGCGCAAGTTTTAACCCTTATCTGATGTCAAAAGTGAAAATATTCAACCTTACATGTCCCTCGATTTTATTTTTGTTGCCGAAACAATTCCTGAAAAATAAATAAATTAGCTCTTTGATTATAAGATCGCAATCGGTTCCAAGCAACAATCTTATAACTAAAGAGCATTTGCTAACTTAAAATCGCTAACTTAAAAAGCGCGATAGTATTTACACTGAGATCAATTCTCTCATCCAATCCATTTCATTAAATGACACTATTTACATTTGATATGCATATTGATTAATATAATGTCTAAATCATATGTACCTTAGCTTTTTTATCCATTTGCTCCTTTTTTTATTTATATAAGACTCATAACAAAATAGTAAGAAATGTTATATATTTCTACTTATATAGATTAGGTTTGAGCCTCGAGTAGATTAGATTTTATTTTTGAGCAAGTCTCTGATTAAGCGCAAAGTTTTGCAATTGATCGGATTTTTTTTAAATGCTAGAGAAAGAGAAAGAGAGAGAGAGAGAGAAATCAGCGATCGCATTTCAAATGTTACTTCCTGCTGAAAGATCGCCTATGATCCTATAATCAAATTTTGTATCGCTAAGTTAAGTTAATTAATATTGTTAATCGCTAATTAACGCTGTATAGTATATTTTTATAAGTATAACACGCGGATATACTATTTCTGCGTCCGCTGTTTCATGCGTAATCATTGATTGATTAATTGGTCGAATCCTCGATCAATGCGACATGATTATAGGCGGACCTTTTATGAAGACTGGACAATACATATTTTCACGTAATATGTGCAGCGACGCGAAAATCTTTTTTATTAAATACTTTTTTCTATCTTCGTATACGTATATTATTATATAAATCGTAGGTAAGAATGCTCGATTGTAATAAGGTATTCAATATAACGAATAAAAATATTTATAATCCTTTGTATATACAATTTGCTCCAGTCAATATTTTTGAAATACTCATGTGTACATTTTGTATTTTTTTATTTTACTTTTTATTTTATTTTTTTATTTTATTTTGTATTTTTTGTGTATTTTTATATATATATATAATCGATATATTATTAATGATCTTATTATTAGTGATTCTTTAAGATAATATTCACTAGTATTATTATTATTCTTATGTTGTGCGTAAAATGATAAGTTATTATTATTTTTATTTTTTATAAAGTCAGATTTACATTTGATACTTAAAAATGATAATATCTCTAATCTTCGATGTACTCTAGTAATTATATATTTAATTCTTTTCTTGAATTTTGGCTTGGAATTTTTTAACAGATCACAAATTTAGGCCGAGTAATTTTGCCAAGAGATCTTTTTTTCATATAAACTCATTAGCATTAATTGAATTATTATTTGTGATAATATAATTTTATTAATTAAGATCTATTAAGATTCTTTCCTGTTCTTATTTGGATCATGGTTCCTTTGATTCTAAATCTACGATACGCGCATTAAAGTGTATTAATTACGATTGTGATAATTTAACGTACTGTTTCTTCTAATAATCATGGTGTGGGATAATGAAGCTACCGATCGAATGCATTGCAATCATTAATGAGAATTATTAATCTTTTCTCTTTATTTAACCTATTAATATAGCAAAGATCGGAATTTTCCACCAATATGTAATCAAATGTATACAATGTATAACGCATTTAAAATTAATAATCAATATTTAAAAATTAATTAATTAATTAACATTTAAAAATTTTTCTATTTTATGGGATCCTCAATATTTTCGTAGAAAATTTCTCTATTTTTTTCTTACAAAATTTAATTAATAAAAAAGTTTGCGCATAAGGAACAGTAATTTTTATTAAATTATAAATGACTTAAAGATAAATAAATAGCTTATTAATGCCTTATGTATACATTATTATTATAATTTATTAAATTGCGACACTCTTCATGTTCTAAAACAGCAATAAAAGTGTGAAAAAGCTTCAATGAGACATAGCGAAAAAAAAGAAACAGAAATAATGATGAATCTGCTCAGCTCTGTTTATGGTCCTGTTCGGCCGCTTTGTACCTGAATGAGAACCGCTTACAACCCGTTACAACGCATTTACTTTAATATCTGCAAGCAACGGCCGACGCCGACGACGACGAGCTCGCCTCCGAACCACATTTTTTGGTAATTGAAGACCGTATAAATTTGAAATACTAAGGAGAACCTCTTTTTTCGCCAGCACAGGCGACTGCTCTTGCATCATTCTTGTACCGTTTCGCGTGTAACGCGAGCAAAAGCATTTTATTGCTGGACGATTACGCGGGTTACATGCGTATTATGCGAATTTTTTTTGCAAAAACTCGACGAGCAAAGTGAGAATCATCATCATCGTCGATTATCGCTCAAACGAGATTCATCGTAATCGCATTTCTCACATTATATAAAATTATTCAAATTAAATATACGCGTGCGTGGGAGGGGTTCGTAGATAAAAAGTCAGGTCGCAACGAAATAATCTTGGTCGAATCCCCTTGCGTGTCTAATCTGAACCGCGCATGTTTGTAACCAGACAGGATATAGTCCAGACAATCTGACCAAACTCATATCCCAAGTCAATATTTATATTACGCACAAGGGACGACGAAATGTGCTTTTCGCTTTGCCGCAATATCGTGAGGAAAATTAAAAATAATACGCGAGCGCTCATGTAATCTGGCTCTTAAAATCACTTTTTATGTATATTTCACATATTTACAAGTTTCTCATTACATTGTATCAATAAATATTCTTCGATATAAAACTAATTGTAAGACAATAATTTTTTTTATCTAAGGTTATGAAATTTGCTTATGACATAAACACACATATATCAAACATACAGCCCAACAGACGCCAAATAACAGTTGTATAATTGTTAGTTGTAATTTCCCACTAGAAAAAATAACTGTTACATGTTATGTAACAGTTATATTGCGAAATTATAACAAACAATTATATAAATGTTACTTGGTGTTTGCTGGGATATATCATGAATATAAAACACATAACACTCACATACATCGCATATACATGTATACACACGAATAGACACGCGTTATATGAATATGTAATAAACAAATATTACAAGGATATATTGGCAATAAGTAATTTTTAAAAAATTGTGCAATTATTTAAAAAATTATTTTATATTTAAAATATTATTGTTAGAATATTATATTTAAAATATATTATTTCTTTTGTACGTTCTATAAAAAGCTATAGAATGTTATTGAATATTACTGAATTATTGAAAATTGATTATTGAGCAGTAAATGCAAAATTGCATTACACGTGACACACCATCGTTACTTATAAATAATTCTAACACACTCACATCAATAATAATGAAGTAACGTAATATGATATAATTCTCTCGGAAAATGTTATTTCAAACAAAATGCGAGTCGAGCAAAATGATGTTTGTAAATGTAATATGATTTTTAACGAGCCATCGAAAAACGATAAAATGAATTTAATTTAGCAAACTTATAATTGGAACACAATACTTTTTTCGCAACTTGGTTCACAATACTTTTTTCGCAACTTGGTTCTATATACAATCAATTGGATTTCAATAATTACGATTTTAATACAATATAATAATATAAATATAACAATGATAAGGTATATAAATTACAAATATTGCAGCGCGTTAATTATAAGCTACAACTTCGGAACATCGTTCAACATTATTTTTATATGAGATTGGTTTCTTCAGATTCACTCGGTTGCACATGTCGAGAGATTCGCGAGTAACATTCACTCAAATCCAGCTTGACGATTTACTTGTCACATCTCCACCTTGGAGACAAATTTCGCGATCGGCTCCAATTGAATAGAATACGTACATCGTGACCAGATGAACTCAGTAATACGTGTTTTGATAATCGGGATACCGGATAGACTGGTGCATCGAGGTGGATCCATCCGGCCCAAGCAGATACAAGCTGGTCAATTTGCCATTGAAGGTGTAAGGTTCCATATCAAGATTATTAAGCGAATCATCCGGCCTCTTTGCTGGCTTGTGATTCGCCTGCCACTGATAAATGGAGGTCGGCTTACCGTTGCTCACAAAATCGGCCGACAGATTGTCCAGGTTCGTAATTGGACTGTCGGCCGGTTTCTTGTTGATAGGTTTCTTTTGCCATTGATAGACGGAGATAGGCTTGCCGTTGCTCACAAAGTCTATGGGCACTTTGATGAAGGGATTAATGGTCTGCTGAGGGACCGGTTGAGGTCGTCCTACTGGCCTTACGTAGGGTAGCTGGAATAGCTCCGTTACAAGAGGTATTTGAGGCTTTAAGGAGGTCGAATAGGTAGGTGGCTGCGAGATGTATCCGAGGCCGGGTACGAATGTGTACGGAGTGGGTGGAAGTCGAATGTAGAAGATGTTGCTTTCTTGGTATCTTTTTTCAAACTCCCCTGACAATCTGTCCTTTGCTGCAGCCTCCGAATCGTCGTTGTAGTCGACTTTGTACGTGGATACCCTTGGGTAATGAGACACATGGGGTACCAGAGGATAGTCCAATAGTATGGCTTTGTGTTTTCGTCCTTGGGTTAATTTTTCGCCGGCTTCGTTATCGTATGCTTCCGAATCTTTAGGACGATCGGCCGTACGCTTTAAGTTCGACAGCGTTTTATTTATATTTTCCACCATCTTATCCGCTTTACTCGGACTCTCGTCTATTGTGTCCAAACGGCTCTCCGCGGGATGCAGAGTTTTTTGGATTTGAAGAATCAATCGGTTGTCCAATGAGCTTTGAAAAGGATTCGCCGTCGCAAATCCGATTATAGGAATCAGCAAAACCAGTACCATCGTCGTAGTGTCTGAAAAGGAATAAATTGTTTTAGAAAAAAACATTAAGCGTCAGTTGCGCGACATATATATTTGCAAAATATAAATCTAACCTAAAATAAAAACCTAATTTAACCTAAGAATAAAAGATTAAAAAATGTATAAAAATTATCTGTTTAGAAGCAGATGAAAAATCATTAATTGTAAAAGACGGATTAATAATACCCAACATGAAATATTACAACTTATATATTTCATGCGCAAGATATCTCATAAAATCAAAATTCTTGATATCATTTTATTTATCCCACTATAAATTATTGCAACACTACGTCTGCTTATCATAAACTTACTTTTTTCGTCGAAAAATTATTTTTTAGATTATATAAATAATCAACAATTAAAGATACATTTTACTATTCGCAGGGCCGGATTTAAAGGTGTGGAGAACCTGGGGCAATGAAGAGGTGAAGACTCCTAACTATTTTTAAATTAAAATTAAATAGAAATTTTTATGTTGTTTAAATAATATTTATTGTAAAATAATAAGGTCAAGCAATATACATAAATCTTGTAAGTGTTGTATACCATTCGATAGGAAATTTTACTCAAAAACTTGTGTTGTGGAGGCCTCCCTCTTATGGAGACCTCTGGGCTTCAGCCCCTGTTGCCCCCCACAAAATCCGGCTCTGGTCAAATATAAATCATTCGTGACTCTTTATCTATTTTTCGATTATTTAAATGTAATTCAGATTGAGATCGTGCAGTAAAACGATCGAATCGTAAATATAAATGTATATTTTACATAATGAAAGTAATCCTTCAATAAATAATCATATAATTAATCTATATCATTTAAAATCTAAATTTCTATACTTTAAAATATTTCGCGTATATATTTGTCAAAATACGTAAAATATTTCGAACAGATAATAACACAATGTTTGGTCTTGACGGCGTATACAATAGCGCGCTAATGTTTACATTCCGCGGTCTTGATATTATTCATACGGCGACACTCGAGCAAGATAGGTGCGAAACGATACTCTTCGTATATTATCGAATTTACTAATTGGACGATTATCATGATTTTCAATTAGATTAATCTTTCGATTTTATAATTCGTGTTAATATAATATTAATAAAACGGAGCATTTGTAATGAGTAGTGCATGAATTTGAAACTTTATATAAATATCGAACGAAAATAGTACTTCTCTCGTGTCTTCTGTTTCTTACGATATGTTAAAAAGTGCGTTTCTCATGTAATTATTCCGCGATCGGGAGTGTCATGCAAAGTATCTCGCGATCGTTCCATATATAATTAATTATTATTATTCGTATTTTCGGAAGTGAATGTGAATGCTACGAAGAAGCAAAGAATGAAAAAGAGATAAAAGAGAGAAAAGCATCGAACAACACATATGGAACAACGAAATATAAAATGTAAGTCATTTATAAATTATTTATCATTCATGTTACTTTTAGACATATTGCCTGTTGCTTTTTCACCTTTTCGAATTTATTCCTAATTATCATCTAACATATAACGCATATATAAAAAATATTTCAGTTTTTATTTTAAAATATTCCAAATAATATAATAAAATATTTTTCGTGTTAATTGATATTTCAAAATAGTTCAATATTTTATAAAATTTTTCACAATAATGTAATTATTATATACTTTATATATAAGAATTAGATATTTTTAAATAGACTAAATTTTTATTAAAAGTTTATATTCAAGATAATGCTAATTTACAATATTATAATTTACAATAATATACAATCAATGTCATCTGTATAAATGTTTAGATATACATATATTCTTTTGTTTTTCAGCTATAAAATATTGTTGTAATTAACATACATTAATTCATTGATAATTTCGATTTGCATTTAGAAAAAAATATATTTAAAACATTTTAACTATATCTTCTAAAAAATTATTTGCAGATTTTAAAAACACATTTATTGTTCAATATAAATAATTCGCAAAAAATGTTATAAAATGACACAATGCTTACTTAAATGAGAGATACGTTGTGTTACATTTTTAATCAATAAAAATTTTCATTGATTCAGTTTAAGATAGTATGTTTTATATACGAGTACAATTAGACAGTTTTCTTATCCAAATTGCTTTTATCTTTCGCATATAGGAACGGAAATAAATAATAAGAAAAAGAGTTAAGCAATTATGTATTAATATGAACGCTGTTGCAAATCTAAGCAGTAATTATGATAATAATTATTATATATAATATATACAATATAATATTATATACAATATAATTATTATATAATTTTCTCATTGTTATTTATTATTCTAACATCTCTGTGAATTGGATTCTAATTTTCCTTTATTAAAGAAAATGATCGTCGTGTACCTAATCTTTTATTCAATAATATTCATATAAGTAGACATTACAATGAGAAACAAAATTTTTATTTTAACTAAATGCTCACATACTTATTTCGTACATGACGTAAAAATCGGAAGCGCTATAATGAGTCAGATTACATTATTGAATGATATAATCAATCCCACACACAAATTATATAAAATTATATATAATATAAATTTCTCTCTTTTTCACATATATAAATTATATTATATTATAAATTTATATAATGCAACCCCCCACGGGTACACCTTGACGCGGTGGGGTGGCTCAGTACTTGGATGGTGCCTTGAGGTTTATTTTAAATTTTTTTATTTAGGATAAATCTCAAGGAGCCCTGAAGGGGAAGCTAAGTACCCAGCATTGCCACGAGTCGCACAAAGGCTCATTGCATCGCATTGCGTCGTCGACTTTCCGTCGTCGGTGCCGTCAACGTGTCGCGGATGGTGGCGTCTCGTTACCGTATTTTCGCGCTTAGCTTTCTCGCGTTTTCGCGCTTCCGTGTTGGACTTTTCATATAAAAATCCCAATTTTATTATTGTCACGAGTCTCCACTTCCGATGCCAATTAACTAGGATTTCGAGTTTGCACACGTTGCGCTATGCAACTATAAACGTACTCTCATGCTTTTCGTGCTCCGTCAAGTGATTCGGTCCGAATTGGTTAGAACTCGATCGATTGTTCGGAATGATCGTCAATGGGTCCCTTCTCTTTACTCGTGTCTACGGTCACACGCACTGCGTGTGTTAACCCTGTCGAGGAGGGTGGATTCCGCTAGGCACGATTTTCGCTCGGTAAAAGAGGTTGCCTCCCCATTTTCTAAATTGCTGATTGCTAGCATTTAAAAAATGTGGGTATCCTCTTCTTTTGCCGTCTACCAGTCTGGTAGACAGCAAATAGCAACCGCGGGAGGCATAATATGTCCGGGCGGAGCACCTGAAATCGTGCTTAGCGGATCCAGGTTCGATACGAGATAGGATAATTATGCGCGAAAAAAAATTGGTGAACTTCATTTTCCTCTACTTCCGTCAATCGTTTCGTCTTCTTTCCGGTTTGGACTTAATCCATGCTCGTTGTATCGTTGCATTCCTGACCTGTTGACTCGAAGTGGATTCTCGTAAGTGAAATGGGATTTTCGCTCGTACCGAAACCGGGAGTGCCGTTAAAAGTATATACATATTAAGTATATACATCGCGCAAATATAAAATTTTTAATCGCATCGAAATAGTGCGGGAGTGCCGTTCAGTATCGCGCGTAAAAGTGCGAAAATAGCGATAAAAATATCGCTCATGAGTGCGAGAGTGCCGTAAAGTATCGCGCGTCTAAGACTGAGAGGAGGCGCAGGCCTAGGAAAGGCATCCTGCATCGGCGGAACAACCTGATGGTGAGTACTATTTATATTATTTATTTATATTAATTATTATATCGTACATGTATTTTAGTCATAGTAATTTGAGTTATTTATTTGAATGATGAAACAAGAAAGATTCCAAGAAAAAAGGTTGTATGTAAATAATCCTATAAAACTTTCTATTTAAAAAAATAGGTTTCAGAATTTAAAAAATTATTGCATCTTTATTTATTTGTTTATTATTGCACATATCGGATATAAAATTCGGTGCGTACAATAATAATTAAATATAATGAAAGATTAATTATTTTAAGAGCTGCTAATTATATGAATTTTATGTTTGTATGTTACAGACAACGTAGCTTCAATATTGACAACTCCGCTGTTGCGCATCAGTGTTGGTAAGTGAAAAATTTTTATTTTAAGGTAACGGATTTGTGTAGAGTTTGTAGATTGTAGATGTAGATTGTAGATTGTAGGTCCGTTACCTTAAAATGGATGGACTAGAACAAATTAAATCATATAATTTTTTAAAGTTTTTTTTTCAATATACATTAAAGCTTGTTAAAAATGCAAAATTGAAATATTATTTAAAGGAAAATTTCATTTTTTTATTAATTTTTTATTAATTTTTTTTATTAAATTTTTTTTTAAATTAAAGGAAAATTTCATTTTTTTATTAATTTTACATTATAATCAATTATTTATTTTAAATAAAGTCCATCATTTTTATGTAGTGTAACATTAAAAAACTTTGCTTTAATTGATATAAATCTAAGTAAGTTATCAATCTATTAAACCATATGTAATGTTTAAAAAGTCCAATGAATGATACTATAGACTGAAAATATAGTAGAAAATGTATAAATGATGTGGAATTAATTTATTTTATCGTAAATCTTTATTATAAATTTTTTATTATAAATAATATTATATATTGTAAAAATTGCAATCATTTAATTTTGATTAACTTGACACTATATAGCATTATATTAATTAAAGCAAAGTTATATTAAAACGATAACAAACAGTCATAATATTACGACTGTAAATGAGCGTAAAATTAGGCTCATGTACCGGTGAAAATAAATAGCCAGCGGAAGGAGTTTTTCTCCTTCATTGATCTATACAGATCAAAGCTACTTTATCCTTGGCTAAAAATAGTCAAATGCTGGAAATTCGAAAAGTAAGTTAATCTAAAAACGTGCAATAGCACATAATAAACGCGTAAATTAAACGGATAAAATAAACGGGTACGCATAAAATAAATAAT